TTGTTAATTACAGTACTGGTAATTTGCTTGTCTCCATTGTTGCAATCCTTGATGGGTTATATACAGTACTGGTAATAACCCCATTGAAGCTAACACATCCCCTTCATCTCCCTTTCTTGGTGTCTTTGGGTGCTTCTAATTTCGATTGACAATCCAAGGAACCATGATTCTGATAAGTTAATAGTTGTTAATAATTGGAAACCAAACCTCTGTTAAATAAGCAAAAAATGTTGCCTTTTTATATTAATAGTTGTAAAATCATGACGATACATCCTAATTAACGTACGAGGGTTAAAATGATAATTTATTGTCATTCAGAGAACAGTTACCAAACAACATTATTTCATTCAGCACTTAACCATTCTGACCCTCTTAACCATTATGACCTCTTAACTATTCTGCACTAAATCATTCAGCAACTGCCAAACAGCCCCTAAGAGTCTTCCCTTCCATCTTCCCATCCTCAACAAGTCAACATTATCTTTCTCTTTCTATCATAACTGATTGTCACGATTTCAACGAAAAGATTTGGCCTAGAGAATTCTAGAGAATTAGACCGCTACTGATTTTGTCAGAGTTTGATGATGGATTACCACATGTTGATAGCCATGCATAATTATGCTTACTTACGAGGCTTGACTTAGGACGCACTACCAGCCACCGCCTTGGTGTTAGGGACGTTTGGAGTAGATGAAATCCCCAACGTATGGTTATGACTGCATTTTTATTACAAACATATGTCTTGTAGATATTCAGTTTTTAATACGCTTTATTTTTAGTATTTATTGGATATAGTCGGGTATGATTTAATGGTTTGGTCTCTTTTTTACATGCTAGAGAATGGTACTCGCACAATGCATGGAAATACATTGATCTCGAACTTAATATTCTATTTTATTATGTGTTTGTCGATATAATACGATTTTATGTGGTTTTGAGAAAACGACAATGTTTTTTATTTTGAATAATATATAAAATTTGAATATATCATAACAATTTGAAAAAATAATATCGATATCAGTATCAAATTAACTATTTAAAAGTTCTCATCTTTTTGTGTAATTTTCTTTAATTCAATTTCAATTATAATTTAATTAAGGTTTAATAACGAAGTACTTTATTTTTTATTTAATAATATAATTTTTTTATCAAATAATAATTAAGTACTCTGTTAGAACTCAATGAGTATTCTAATTATATTTCAATTTTTTATATTTATAAATGAAATATTTATCATGTATTTGATTATGTTTATCTGCAGTCATTTAACTTACACGAACTCAAACATAGAGAATCAATAAGTTGTACTTATACACAATTTATTTGAAATCTTAAATTTTAGGTAATATGCTTCAATAAAGAGTACTTCATGCATAAAAAATAGTTTTTAAGAGTTTTTAGCAAATACTTTATAATATAGTACAGATTCATATAGTATTTCATTGATTAATTATTTTAGTATTGTTGGTCCTACGTCGAAGGCATAAAAGTTCTAGTTTATCAGTTATGTTGCAATTGTTGTTTTTATTCACGATGCTTGTATGATGAGCAATCAAGGTCCAGATCCATTGATTATTTAGTATCGAAACCCAATTGATGGTTACAGAAATGAGGTTCCGTTTGGTTATACGTTTCAGTTTCATTCATAATAATTAATATTCAATTTTAAATAACGTTGATATTTTAGTTTCAGTTATTATTATTATTATTTTTTGATAAAAATATTGATTTAATTAATATACAACAATGTATTAGGGGCCGTTTATCAAACGTTTATCCGGGTAAGCGCTTACCAAGTAATATTATCTCACAGGATGAATATGGTAAGGATAAAAAATCTTATCCTGTAAGAGCGAGACAAGGACCAAGAGTCTTACGTCGACTCTTTTCACGGTAAGCGCTTACCGGGTAAATTATTGCATACGATGTCGTTTTGGTGGACTAAAATCTTATCCGTCAAGTAATTAATAGTGTTAAATTTTATCAGTAAGCACTTACCATGTAAATCTTAATATTTTTATAAGATATAGATGCACCCAGATTATCTATACTATCTTATAATGCATTTGGCTAAAACTCTTAAAAACTCTTAAAAATTCTTAAAACTCTTAAAAACTCTTAAAAACTCTTAAACCCGTTCATCCCTAAACGATTTCATCCTTATCCAATTTCATCCCATATCTGAATTCGTGTAACTA